TCTTTCATCCATTTTGAGTTTATCTTTGTGTATGGTGTAAGAGAATGGTCCAGTTTCATTCTTCTGTAAACAGCTGTCCAATTTTCCCAGCACCATTTATTGAAGAGACTGTCTTTTTCCCATTGGATATTCTTTCCTGCTTTGTCAAAGATTAGTTGACCATAGAGTTGAGGGTCCATTTCTGGGGTCTCTATTCTGTTTCATTGATCTATGGGTCTGTTTTTGTGTCTTGATGATCACAGCTTTGTAATATAGCTTGAAGTCAGGCATTGTGATGCCCCCAGCTTCAGTTTTCTTTTCCAACATTCTGCTGGCGATTCGGGGTCTTTTCTGGTTCCATACAAATTTTAGGATTGTTTGTTCCAGCTCTGTGAAAAATGTCAATGGCATTTTCATAGGGATTGCATTGAAAGTAGATTGTTCTGGGAAGCATAGACATTTTAACAATGTTTATTCTTCCAATCCATGAGCATGGAATGTTTTTCCAACTTTGTGTCTTCCTCAATTTCTGTCATAAGTGTTCTGTAGTTTCTAGATATAGATCCTTTACCTCTTTGGTCAGGTTTATTCCTAGGTATCTTATGGTCTTTTGGTGCTATTGTAAATGGAATTGATTCCAGAATTTGAGAAGCCCTATTCCATAGTCCACATTTTTGCTTCTGTGTTTCTGCAGTTGCTGCATGTTCTAATCCTCTTACTTTTCTCAGATGACCATGGAATATGAGGAATGACTTGCAAGTTTTGCATGTGGCTTCATGAAAATATTACCAGAAGAGCTTGAGCGGGTTGACTGGTTGAGTATGTATATGTCTTTGCAGACTGATGTGCTGTTGCCTCACCTCTGTGGCCTGTGACTACATCTTCCAAGTCCTTCTGTGCAACAAATCCCTGTCCCTTCTTGATCTGGGGTCAAATTTCCTGGAAGATAATGGAGTGGCATCTCTTGGTGAGGCACTGAAGCATCCAAACTACAATGTTGAGCAGTTGTGGTATGTCTGGCTATGATTTGCTTGAATGTCAGAGTTCCTTTTTTTGGATATCAGCATCCTGGGAAGGAAATGGGAAGGGGTAAAATCACGGGGTCTGCTGAAAGAAAGCAAGGCTGAACGTTGACCCCGCCTGATACTTGTGGGAGTGTCCAGTGGCGCTGACGGGTGTGAGCTTGACCAAAGAGCTTGACAGGACTTGGTAGGACATGCTACTCTGAAGTAGAGTCTCTGGCCTCCAGAAGACCAGTAATGGAGTCCCAAGTGCCCTGGGCTAGCTGGGTGAATTGTGAGGTGCCTCACCTCTCCTCCAGTGTGACATAAGGATAATAGCATTTCCCACGTCAAAGAATCGAGGTGACCAGTTGGAATAGCATATGTAAAGTACTATTACCAATGGCTTGCCCAAAACAAGCACTCAGTAAATGATGGCAGAAGGCATATAGCATAGATATCATTCACGGCTTCTCCTGGGCACTGGAAACTCTTCTGGGTAGATAAGATGAATTGGTAAATGAAATGCTCCAGTATCTCTGTTTCCATGGATGTCAGTTTTATGGAGTGTCACACGCACTCACACACACACAAGTGTGGGCTGCAAGTATGTGTGTATATATCATGGTTTCTTGATCTTAGCACTATTGACATTTTGGCTTTGATCATTCTTTGTTGTGGGGAGTGGCTGCCCTGTGCTTTGTAGGGTGTTTAACACCATCTCTGGCTCGTACCCACTAGATGTCAGTAGTACCCTCTCTCCCAGTGTGGCAGACCCAAATTACAGGCATTGCTTGATGTCCGCTGGGGCGGGGAGGAGCGACAAAAGTCATTCCTGTTTGAGAACCGCAGAGACGCATACCCACACATGTGTAGATGTCAGACACATACAGACACACATGTGTGTATATGTGTGTCTGTGTGCTTATACACACATGTGTGCACATACCAGACTCATGAATATATGTACACGTATGTTAGCAGGTGGTAAGTACTGTGGGGAGCTCAGAGGTAGGACACAGACTGGGGACGTAAGTCTCTATAAAATATTCAGGGAGGTCCTCACCAAAGGTGACATTTGTGCAGAGATTTGGAGTAGGTGAAGGAGTAACCCCACTGATATTTGGGCAGGAGTGTTGCAATCAGTGAGAACGGGACCCGAGGCCGCGGGGGGAGCAGAGACAGGTGGCAGAATTGCAGTCCAGCATGTTGGGCAGGAAGGTAGAGGCCTGTGAAGTCATGGAACCATCACCATCACCATCTCAGAAGTACTTGGGTACTTCTTTCTTCATATGAATAAATGAAAACAAGCCAAGCCCTGCGAGGTGGGACCTCATGATTGTGTTTGTTGGTGTGTATTTCCCCCCAGGTTGGTGGATTTTTGCCTCACTTCTCTCTGTTGTAAGGACCTCTCTGCTGTTCTTGTTTGCAATGAAAAACTAAAGACCCTGAAACTAGGGAGCAATGACATCCAAGACGCAGATGTCGAGCAGTTATGTGAAGCTCTGAAGCATCCGGACTGTAGAGAATCTTGGGTGAGTGTCCACTGATTGCCTTTATGAGAAGGCGTACCTATTTCAAGAATAGGAAAACCTCAAGGATTGGTGGTACGTAAAGGAAGCAAGATTAAGAACAAGTGTGTCCTGAACGATGTGATAGTAAAATGCTATCCCATGAAGCCAGAGCTTGCTCAACTTTGACTCTATTGACATTTGGGACTGGGTGGTTCTTTGCTGTGGTGGGGAAGGGGGTCTCGTCCTGCTCATTGTACGATATCCAGCTGCATCCCTGGCTTGTCTCTATCCATGAGATGCCAGTTTTACTCCCCAGGTGTGTCAAATGTCTCTAGATATTGCCACATGTCCCCCAGGGGACACAGTGGCCTTGGTTGAAAAACACTAGACTAGGGGCGCCTGGGTGGCTCAGTCGGTTGGGCGACTGCCTTCGGCTCAGG